TGCTCTTCGATCTATGAGCTGGCGCCGAATCTTGTTGGAATACCCAGTGCCTGTTATTGAACATGGTTTGAGAAAAAGGTTCGTCAGGACTGTATTTTGATACACTGCATTCGTTTTTACACCTTTCTCACAAAAATGTACCTCTGTTAGGCCCCAATAAGAAACTCCCAACCATACCATGAGCGAAGATGGAAAATGACCTCGTTGGACACGCGGAATACGGTTGCTCGCTTCTTCACTACTGTGTGCGTACACCTTATCATTTTGTTTGTTGTAGTTCTCTTCTACGGTAAAAATTCTTTCATCCGAAAAAAGAATTTACGGATATTTTTTCCCGCGTACCGCTTCAACAAAGCGCGGCATCTCTTCAGTCTCAGGTCCATTAGACGAGCATTCAAACGATGTCCTGTTTTTCTTCGATGTGCCCGAAGCCCTAAGTCTTCATTTAACACCCTTTTCACCGTGGTTCTGCTTAACCCCATCTGAAGGGCCAACAGTTTCTGCTTACGTTTGGGATTTCTTTGAATTCGCGCCTTCACAGCTTTTATCACTGCTGGAGTCCTAGCAGACTGAGGTCGACCACTGCTTGACCTGTCATCTACACTAGAGTCTTCATTGTATCGTTTGATGGTACGATAAACGAATCCTTTGGTTATATTAAAATTTTTCAGTATGTCAAAAATTTGAATTGGCGCGTAACCGCAACGATGCAACGCAATAACTGCAACACGGTCTTCTTTAAGCGTCTACTCCATATTTAAAAATGAGTAAAATTCTAAAAAGTATACAGTTTTATTTTTATGAACAATTCAAAATTCGAATTTAATAAACTTCTTTGTGGCCAACATTCTAAAAGAAAAGTTTTTTCTGTGTGACAATACTTATGACCTGACTAGGTACTATAATTATTATTGATGTTTTTATTGCTTTTGCAGATTATATTTCCAAGCATGTTATTGGTATATAATATACGTTATTGTGAGAGTTATTATTCACAGAACATTAACATAAGTTTAAATCAGCAAAATTCGTTTAGCGAAAACTTAAGTCAGTCCAAATACATGACCTGAAATAGACGAAATTCGAGTTAATATAATAATAATCCCTACTAATAACTTCAAAGTGCTTAAAGACTTACCACAACATTGTCAAAAGTTTTTCATCTTCTATTATATGACACCTGCAGAAAGTGATCTGATTATTTTGTGCTTTTTAGCACAACGCTTGATTTACTTTCGATTATAATCACACATCATGAACAACATTTAAAACTGTACTATTTAAAAAACGATTAGATATTAAAGTGGCAGTTAATAGTTTCTTCATTGCAACAATCCAGCTATTTTCAATAAAATATGACATCGATATTAAATTACAATCAGTAATTTTATAATCAAACATGCGTTATATAATAACAAGATTTATAATACTACTCGAAGTTCATGTATGTATAATAATGACTTGCAAATAGGTACATACGTTATGTCTGCGTGATAAAGTCTTAAAATAGTTATATGTTTTGTACACTGTACGTATCACGCTGTTAGAGTCTGTTTGTTTGTTTTATATGAAAAAACACTTTTGCTAATACAAGCTTGTAACAATCCACTGAAAAACCAGACCTCTACCAAAGTGTGCTACTCCGCTCAACGAGTAAGGCTACCTTTTTAGTCGCTTCATTTAGCTAGCCTTCCTAGCCAGGGGATATTATAATACGTAGACTCGAACGTTTGTCGATTGTGCAACAGACTTGACTAACCCATTCTACTTCAGTTGGTTTTTTTTTAGGATACAGTGACAAACGAGCACACAGTCTACCTGATGGTAAGTGGTTGCTAAATACATCTACATCTACCCTAAATAAAGAATCAAAATTCAGATGCGTTGTGGCCCGTGTGGACTAATATGGAATGCCTCTTTTCCAGTAAAACAGGGCTCCGGTTCTCTATACTCGCCATACGAAACACAGCAGTGTTAAGCTGCTAATTTACGCTGGTATTTTGTGAGAGCGTGGCCTTCCCCGGTCGAGCCGACCCATTCGTGCTACAACTATACTACTAATATAGCTGCAGCATAGCTCTACTACGTTAAAATCTCTGCTAGATTCCTTCATAAATAATCTCACTCATGAGAGAAAGTCGTCTTCGACTTTGAATAAGCGAAGTAATACCTTTGTTTGTTTCATGTTTTAACACCACCAGTAAGTAAATACTTCTTTTCTTTGGTCTTCAGGCTTTGCGGTATGGACGAGAAAACCTAAAGAGCTTCTTTTTTTCCTTTTATTTAATTTGCAAAAACCGTGAGGTTTGTACGCAAGTTACAATCTCATACACAATACAAGGCAATAATACAATTATATGATTGTTTAAAAACAGTGACAATAATATTAAGTAGCATGCTGTGTGACGACGCTGTGAATTATTAAAATATTATTAAGCGTAAACACACTCAATAAGCGTATTTTAATCTTGTTGGTCATTTATATAATATTATCTATGCACATATAAATAAAAATGAGGTATCTGTCTATATTATCCGAAAAACTCTAGACAGACAGTCAAATAATTTTTTTTAATGTTTTGTCTGGAATCTTTGGAATAGATGAACCGATTGTGGTGCTGAAACTTCGCGAGCAAATAGATCTCAATACTGGAATCATATATGACATAATATAATATCCGAAAAATATGGATATTTTTTTTTTGTAAAATCATAAAAACTTATGATGATTATTATCACATAAACTGTAAGATACATAAAAAGAGATTCGATCTATACTTTTTTGGTTTGTTATCTTACATAAAAAGGGTATCTTACACTTAATTTTTTGAAATTTTGATGCTAAATCGATTATTACATTTTTTTACCTCAATACCGTTTTACAATATAACCACGAGTTTTAATATATAGATAAAGTATTTTTTTTATTCGAATTAATAAGTCATCAATTTTTAATTCAAAGATGTTTGGTTAAAAGTGGTTTTTTTTATAATTGAACTACTTGCCCATAGACCACTATCACAGATCTCTCTTTTTTGTTTAAATTTCAGGCAAACGAAGTGGTGGGTAAAAGTTAGGTTATTGTATCACAATATTAATTTGTAAAAATAAAATAAATATTTTATTTATTCTCACCCAAAGGTTAAGTGTGTATTCAAAGAAAAAAAGCAACTGTTTAAATAAAAAGAGCCACAAAATTTTGTTCACATTTTAATACAAAATCTGTTACAATAATTCGGACAATGAACATATTCTCCCAGTTATATTACAATCAAAATTATTATTTGTTCTTTACAAGTCTGGGTAATGGCTCTGTTCTTAAGCACACGTTGAAGTTTTTACTACTATTATTATTATTAATTAGATTAGAATCGATTTTATAAATAATAAAAGTCATTCATGGAATAACATATAACATTATCAAATAAATAATTACTGTTTGTACGATGAATTAATTAGTTTCCTTGTTTTAATATAAAAAATTTACTAAAGTTATAATTTATTTATAATGTTTATTTAACTATTAAAAAAATGGTCCCCAAATTAGTACATTACTTTAAAACGCACAGTTTATTTTTTATAGGTCTTAAGAGAGTCAAAATCTACATCTGTTCGCAAAAACAAGACTTTCTCAGAGAAGAACCGGCGGGAAACTTTGGGGTATTTTAAGGTAATTTCCTCTTACAAATTCATTTAGTCGTACAATTGCAGCGTTTGATCAAATAATGCAATATCAAAAGTAAATAAATATATATTTAATATGTTAGGCTCAACAAAAAATAACATCGGTAGCCAAGGGACTTGTTAGTATAGAGTAAGAGTTATTTTTAAATTTTATTGCCCTCTACAAATATTACGGTGCGTACATATTATATAACATAACATTGTTATATAACGTGTATCAGTAATGTGGAGACTGAATTGAATAAAACGTGTTATATAACGTGACACATATGTTATATAGCTAGAGAGTATTTTTCTCTAGTCAATATACTAGGACGAACCAAGTATCTATGTTTTTTTCTTTTGTTATTTAAAAGTACAAGGGTTGCTGCAGCAGCTAACAAAACGTCCTCTTGTGTCAACATTCTGAATAGCGCTGCAGAACGACAATCGACAATGTCATATAACATTGTTATAATGCATTGTTATTCTAATGTGTACCGTACTGTTATATGCTGCAATGTTGAAAAACAATGTAACACAAAGTGGACGTATTATAAAACAACATGTTACTTAATCTGTACGCACCCTTATTCTATTTTATAGTTTATAGTAGACCTTATATAACTTTACATAAAAGTTTGCTTCACAACTCTGACGAAAAAGAAATAAAGCACCGCGTACATTTCAAGTGACGCCGAAACCATATACAACTTCTCGACTCGCACTTACGCACATCACATCTTTCTTATTTGTTTTTTAGCTCACACATAAGCACCTATGCCGATGTTTTTGGAATCAAATTATTTTATATGCATATGTGAGTGCGTGTTATTATTAGTTGGGCATGGGTTTCGCGTTCGCTACCTTTCTTGGTTGGTCTGTGTTTGAGAAACAATATTTCTGGTCTAATGTGATTTTAAAATTATTCATTAAAATTTAATACCTACATAAAATAATAATACTCAACGCCTTATGTAGTCAAATAGCTTACAAATATTAAAAAAATATTACGATTTATTTCTATTACTTTCCATTGAATTAGTTTAATTATGATAGAGTTGTCAATATAATGCCTTACTTATAAAAATTAACATAAATTAAAAAACGCTAATCTCTTTTCACTAAATGATAATAGAAAGAGACAGATATAGACATAATACTTAATTTATTTAAGCCATAATCAACGATTCTCCGAATCTCAGAAGAATGAAATCTCAGAAAATCTGGCATAATTGACAACCTTTAAAGCTATTAACGACACAAAAATATTTAATTAATATGAACCTTAATTAGAATATTAATTTTTTTATAATAAATTATATACAAGTTTCATATCACAGCCTTTCCAATATGGAAATAATTGAATAAGCAACACCTGAAATCATTGCAATCACAGAGAAGATGCTGATGAAGCAATTCTTCCATAGAATCCAATTGCATGGTCCTAAGCCACGACTCCAACGCCAAACTGTCTCCACTATTGCGGGAAGTAGCAGACCCATAATGGATAAACAAATAGCGCCCACAAGTTCCATGAAGAGCTCAAGTCTAGGAATCGCACTAGCAATGCCAACTGTAAAAACATAAGGTTAAGGTTGAAAAATCGAACAAAAATGGTCCTCATGATTAATGATTATAATATATACATGTGTGTGTGTGAATGTATTTCATCATCATCATTACAGCCCTTCACAAGCCCACTGCTGAACATAGGCCTCCCACAAAGAATGCCACAAAGCACGGTCCTGAGCCACCTGCATCCATCGACTTCCTGCATGTCTCACCAGGTCGTCACTCCATCTAGTGGGGGGTCGCCCTACACTTCGCCTACCGGTACGAGGCTGCCACTCGAGAACCTTTCTTCCCCTTCGGTTGTCGGTTCTTCAAGCTATATGGCCTGTATGTGTTTATGAATATATAATTGTTCGAGTAATATATAATATTCTTTATTGATTTTCATATAAAGTAAAGTTAAGTTACAGCCTATATACGTCCCACTGCTGGGCACAGGCCCCTTCTCATTTCTGAGCAAGCTGTGTGCCGGCATGAAATACTATCCCGCTAAGCTGAGCACACGTGGTAGAGCCATGCTGCAGCTATATTAGTAGTATAGTTGAAGCATGAATAGGCCTGCTCGACCGGGGAAGGACCACGCTCTCACAGAATACCAGCGTCAAATAGCAGCTTCACACTGCTGTGTTACGTATGGTGAGTGTAGAGAAACAGGGACCCTTTTTACTGGAAACGAGGCATTCCATCTTAGTCCTCATGGATGACAACGCATCTGCATTTTGATTCGCAAACGAGGATAAATGTAGATGTCTATGGGCCACAGCAACCACTTACCATCAGGTGGACTGTGTGCTCGGTTTGTCACCCTATACTATAAAAAAAACACCAAAATTTTTACAGGCTAATTTAGCCTTCCCTTCCAAGTGACCACGAAACTGCACGTCATTCTATATGTCGACGCTTCCGATGCTGGCTGAAGCAGCAAGGGGAGTGCCCTGAAATTGAAAGGGTAGGACAATGGGGTTCTTTTTAGCGATAAACGCGCAAGCCTGTGTCTTCTAAAGGTAAAACTTGACTAGATTTAGTCGCACCCAGTCCGAGACTTTGTAAAACAAAGACTCGAATTTAGACACAAGTATGTTCCAGCAATCGACAACGTGTTCCCAAGAAATAATGGCACGGCTGGTGTAAAAATCATCAACAGCAGGTGTTGTTCGCATTGCAATTAATGTTACTGATTTGCAAAATATCATTAATATTGTAATGATCGCCTTTCTTTTCATGAAAATAAATTAAATGGGCCGTTTGTGACGGCTAATTTGTGATCGTCTTGTATTTTTATTATTTAATACCTTTTGAATATTTCAAGCAGATTTTTTTAGTAAATTTAGGACTTTTATTTTTTAATTCATGTTTGAAAAGAATGTATTGTAACTTTACGCTTAATAATGTATTTTAATCGTTCAAAATATTATAATATGTATGATAATTTTAGACGACTCTATACAGAAATTAATTATTATTTTTGTCTTTAACTACAATGCGCCGTCATAATATGCAGAAGAAACAATTTAAGTTATAGCACGAATCCTTTCGGTACACCAGCATTAATTGGCTTGTAATCGGAGCATGCACCGTCTACAACGATCTTGATGCTCCAATCTACAAGAAAACTCGTGACCCAATTGCATAATTTCTCGGAAAGCCCATAGGAAAGAAGCTTCGAAAGAAGTGATTTGTGCCAAACTCGATCGCAGACGTTCGCTATGTCCAAATTAACTGCCAGGGCCCTTTACCAATCTATAAGTCAGGTATACCAGAAGACCCCGACGGAAAACGTATTGAAGGTCACTAATCAGCTGATTATCCTCAAGGTAAGGAGGTAATGGCGATAGGCCTGTTGTAGGATGGGTCTAAGCGGTTACCTTTTTTAGGGATCGGGTGCACTCCTCAAATCTCCCTCTACGGTGTTAATGAGAGACTTTTTTTATAGGATAGGGTGACAAACGAGCACACAGTCCACCTGATGGTAAGTGGATGCTGTGGTCCATAGACATCTACATCTATCCTTGTTGTTCCCTAAAATGCAGTTCCGTTGTCACCCGTGAGGACCAAGATGGAATGCCTCTTTAAAAAGTGTCTTCGGTTCTCTACACTCACCATACGAAACACAGCAGTGTTAAGCTGCTATTATTATATATTATAGCTGAGTTCATTTCTGCAAGACACGTCGCAGAAAACTGCAAAAACTCTCCGATTTCTGAATAAACCGATACCGATGAAAATAAATGTAGATGTCTATGGGCTACAGCATCCACTTACCATCAGGTGGACTGTGTGCAGCTTTGTACCCTTATTCTATAAAAAAAGTCAATATGACAGAAACGCTGGAGGACAGAAACATGTACAAAACGAGGGCCATGTGTAACATCCATGTCATACCTATGCCGGTAGTTGTTGGAAGCACTATACAACTACGATCGAGAGGGCAAAATTGTACCAACTCTTGACTTGACTCAACTCGACTGGGCAGAGTTCGGGAGGTTACAAAACATCTTATCGTCAGATATACCTCAAAACTTGAAAACAAGATTATACAACCAGTGTGTGTGTTGCCATTTATGTCATATGGATCTGACAGTATGAAGAAACTCTGGGTCGCTCAGTGAGCTATCGAGAATGTTACGCTCGGATTTTTCTGTGTGACAGACTTAGAAATGAGGATAGCCGCTGTAAAATAAGAGTAACTGATATTGCCCAACGGATTAGTAAGATAAAGCAGCAACCTACCAGGATGCTTCTTCTATATGCAGGATATGCAGGAATTCGATAAGTCCAGGTGGCTCAGGACTGTGCTATGTGGCAATTTCTTGGGGGAAGTCTATGTTTAGCGGTGGATTTGTGAACGGTTGTGATGATAATAATGATGGTGATATAAAAAAAATCTCAATGATTTGGAATTGAAATGAATTTTACCTATTAGAACTGTCCCTATAAACCTCACTCCAGCTATCGACCATCGGTGACCTCGAGCTGGTATTTTGTCTTGTATCCGCCTCCATACGACATCCACTGGGACGTAATACACCAACGCAAAGGACAGTATCATTACGCACGCCACCAAGATCTTAGCAATCTGTGCTAATCTGTAAAGAACAGTTTGTTTATTCAGATTATAAATGTTGCAATGTTCATAACGTGACCGGGAGAGGCTATGTCCAGCCCACTGCTGGACATAACCTTGGGCTGGACATAGCATCTCCCGCGTTAATAGCACGCTGGAGGATTGGCGATCGCAGTAGCTGATGTCGCCGGTCTAGACATTATATGTCAGCCTTAAACGAGATGATTTTACCGCCATCTTTTTTTTTATAGGAGAAGGGTGACAAACGAGCACACAGTCCACCTGATGGTAAGTGGAAGATGGAATGCCTCATTTCCAGTAAAAAGGGCTTCCGGCCACCTGCACTCACCAAGCGAAACGCAGAGGTAAACTTCTACTTCACGCTGGTATTCTGTGAGGTCGTGGTACCACCCCAGTTCGAGCCAGCCCATCCGTGCGACAGCAAAAGCCGCCACGTGGCTTTACCATTGTTGACTATCAGATCTGTTGGAAGCCAGGAGATCTCTTAGGATATTACATTGTCGTCTCTTACGAAATTGATGGGACAAAAAGGAGCAATGGTAAAGGGGAGCAAATCATTTCCGTAGTGATCATTAAAACAAACACTAAGAAGTAAACATTATTTTTGGTATCCGCTTTCGGTTAACCATAATTTAAATTGCTTGTCTGACTAAGAACTCGGAACCTGAAGACCATGAGCGAGACAGTTTTCACTCACTTTTCAGATTAGAGCTTGATGTACCTCCTAAACGGGCAAAAGGATTAACTTTTCCTTTACTTTTACTGTTTTTCTTACTTACATTTCATCTTGCGGCAAATTCAATGTGAGACTTCCCCTCACTTCTTCCCCAAAATTTAGGTAACCACAGAATCCGACGAAACCGTAAAGCATGACAACTACGGACATTGCAATGTTCAAAACTCCAGGACATCCGAGGAAATGATGCGGTTTAATCATCTCATTTTCAATTGGCATGACAACTCCGATGCCTTCCATTGCGAAGAGACTTGTACTGTAAAAATTTGATAAGAAATATTGGATTTATATTGTTCCGTATCGATTAAACAAAACGGATCACCTATAGTACCACTTTAGTGTCTATCTGTATGGTCTCATAAATTTATCTCTAAAACTATATTACGTAGATGAATAGGAATAGTTATAATTTGTGTATCCAAATGCAGACTTGTGGTTAAAAATGAAGGCGTCGGAACACTCATTAGACACAACATACATACTTAATTTAATTAATTATTTCAAACTTTCATACGTGACTGTAATGTATAGTAATAACTAATCTTGTTATGTCATGTGTTTAACAAATAAGTTAAGTTACAATAAACTTTGCCAAGGAGCCTAAGTACCAAAAGTAATGCAACTTTTGACATGTGTTAAATATATATTTTATATAGAATAAGGACGATAAACGAGCGCACAGTCCACCTGATTGTAAATGGATGCTTGTGGCCTACATCTATATACAATTAAGAATCAAAATGCAAAAATTTTGTCATCCCTGAGAATTAAGATTAAATGCCCCACTTCAAGTAAAAAGGATCTCCGATGGGAGCACATTGAGCCTTACGCTGTTATTATGTGAGAACTCGGGGGTTAAGCGCTCTCTGTAATTTTCACAGTCCCGAGTTCAATCCTCGCCGGCACCAATGAAATTTTTATTGCAATTTTATGTGCTGATTTGCCACGTGCTCGGGGGTGAAGCAAAACATCGTGAGACAGACAGTTCGCTAAGACACATTGGGGCAGCGTGGCGGACATTTCCTTGCCCTAAAACGATCTCAGAAATGAGAAGAGGCCTCTGCACCGTTGGCGGTTACTTTACTTTTATGTAAGAGCGTGGTCCTTCCCCGGTCGAGCCGACCCAACGTCATGTTTAACGCATAGTTGCATTATCGCTGTGCTACGTATTCCACCAGCCCATTTTATCGCGTAAGTGTCGTAAGAGGTAACTATGGAAAATGCCATAAAATCTTATGGCTTCCAAAAGATGGCGGCATAACCATTACATTTAAGCCATAAATGTATTACCTTCAAAATATTCTCACCTGATGAAGTTAGGAATTCCCGTAATAGATGTGGCCAAATTTCTTTCGGTGATCTTGGGGGGGTCTCGCAAGCAGTAATAGATCGATATACAAATGGATCCAAGCCAAACAAAGTTCGCCAGTGCGGAGAACGGAACTAAGTACTTTAGTTTCGTAATTTGTGTTAGAGGTATTAAGACTACAAGGGTCAATCCACAATAGACTGTTACCGACCAATTAGGGCCTCCATAGACGTCTGATACCTGAAATGAATAAATCTTTGATGAGAAATGAAGTTATTACCTATTACTACTTACTGAAGAAAAAATTTTAGAGAGTAAAAACCCTAAAATCATATTGTTAAACGTTCCTTTGGAGCGTGTAAATGAAGCTCGTAACCTCGGTTTAGTTATGGATGGCAGACTGCGTTTTAAAAAAACATGTACTCGAGCTTGTCCGCAACTGCTTTTTAAGGTTAAAGGTGCTATACAGAATCCGCAAATACATTCAGTTGGACTTAAGAATTGGACCGTATGGACCTCTTGGTTTTTCAAAATTAACCACTGCATTACAGTTTATGGGCCCTGTATTTTGGAAAAGTCAAAACGTCTAATTCAACGTATAGAAAATGCATGTTGTGCACGACACTGCTTCTCAATACTAAAACGGTCCCATGTAACTATTTTTTTTTCAATGAAGCAGGTATTTTAAAAATGAAAGCGCAACAGAAACTATACCTCGCTAATTTATAAGTGATATGTGTTATGTGGTCTAATTTAAGTAGGAAATTGACAGACAATTTGCAACTTAATGAATGATTGTTATTTGTTAAATGAAATTATTTCAATGTTCTTCTTGTAAGGGGAACTTGAAATTATTACTGATCTTGCTTGCTTACGTGCTCTATTGCTAGTTTTCTTTTTTACTGTGGGCACTGGAGAAATATGAAAGGGAGTAATAAGGGAGTGAATTTCTGCCCTAGTAGCTGATGGCCCTAGCTTAGTTTCATCAAAATTTCTTAGTCGCAGAGGAGTATCCACTACGTGTAAGGCAGGCAACGTTGGAATTGTTTGAGGATTTTGTTCCTGTTCTTTAAAATCTCTAGCAGCAGCCACCAGGTTATCAGCTTCAGTAATTGCATTTTGATCAAACGGATAAATGCCTCCAGTTCTGAAACCATTTGCAACAATTTCTCTAGTTTGGCACTTTGGTTTGGTTTGGCTTTTCCAAATATCTCAACAACATCATATAAGGTTAGCAGTATATTTTCTTCTTTAACTTAATGAATGATTGTTATTTGTTAAATGGAAGTACCTAATGAAAAAAATTGTTAAATAAAGTAATGGAAGTATCTAATTAAATTAAAGAATGAATTTTATCATTAAACATTTAAAGGTCTATCTATGTGGGTATGATGGGAGAACACTCTTTGTTTTGTTTCTCAACTTCACACGACACATCACTATTTCTCATATGTTCATCACCATCATCATCATCATCATCATTACAGCCCTTCACAAGTCCACTGCTGAACATCGGCCTCCCCCAAAGAATGTCACAAACACGGTCCTGAGCCACCTGCATCCATGGACTTCCTGCATGTCTTACCAGGTCGTCATTCCATCTAGTGGGGGGACACTCTACATTTTGTCCGGCAGTACGAGGCCGCCACTCGGCAACCCATCGGTTGTCGGTTCTTCGAGCTATACGGCCGGCCCATTGCCACTTCAGCTTACTAATCCGTAACGGATTAGTACCCCTATATTGACACTGAAATACTAGGCTAACGGTTAACCTTTCTTTAATTTCACGCACTCACTGAACGAACATTATTTTTAATAAGTATACATGTATTTATCTTATCTATATACTTATATACCATTCTATATTATGCATCTTTATTTCTATTTTATAGTTTATAATAAAAGTAACTTTATTTTTTCGCCAAACCACACACATTTTTTATTGTTTTCTTGCAATCCTGTCCATCCAAAGGTTGACCACATTTCTTTCTCTCCTTTTTTGTTAATATTTAAGTTTTTTTTTTGCGTATAATAAAGTGTTATCCATCTACCATTCGCCGATTGCAGTTTGTATGCTGTCCGGTATTTTTTCAACCCAAGAAATATTTTCATACATTTTGAAATAATATTATTAATTTTGTTGAAATTGGTGCGAAATAACCTCGTAGTATCGTCGTATAATTTTGCAATTTCCGAAAGCAAACAATGTTGGCTTAATGTTTTGAATAGACATGTTACAACAGAAAGTAAGTGTTGCTTTGTTGTTTAACCAACAGAGTACAAGTGTTCGTGTTGCGTGTTCCGTTTTAAAATTAAAAATTATGTTTTTTTTTTATCTCACATTTTCCTAAGCTACAGCTGCAGTTTGTCGTTATTCAACGCCTATTTTCTCAAAGTAAACCCTCCCACCTGTAACAATTTGCTTAAATCGTGAACCAACTTTTTACCCTGCCGAATGCTGTGGGCTCCATGGACGAGATCTTCCATATAAAAAGCCTCTTTTAGAAATGTTGATGCTTCGATGTAGGGTAGGTGGCCTATTGTGGAAGTTTTTGCTGATGCGATTGTTTGGCAAGTGTTTAATCAAATTTATCATGTGAAAAATATAAGATTAATATATGTTAAATTATGTTAAATGTTCATGTTATATTTTTGTAAATTAGTTCGCGTCCGTCGCGGTAAAAATTAATACATGAACAAACACAATTTTCATAACTGTCAAACAACAATGATTATTTTGTGTAATATTTTAACGCTAGCAGAAATTTGGTTGGACCGTCCAGTAAGTAGCTACCGCAGCTAATTTTAAACAAAGAACTACATGTATGTGAAATTTACAAACGATTTTACGAAATTATGTATAACATAGGCATAATTGAGTCCTAACACCTAGCAATACATTTACCAATCTCCAATATATCAGTCATCTACCAATACAGACTAGTCGAAGCGTCCGCCTCGCGATATCGAATTTGCGTCGCACCGGTAATTAAATGAAATCATTTTTATAATACATTGTTTTTAATAAAATAAGGGTGCCAAGCGATCACACAGTCGCCTGATGGTAAGTGGATGCAGTGATAATAACCCAAATGCAAATGCGTTGCCACATCTGAGGACTAATTAAAAGGGTCTCCGGTTCTATGGGCTCATATGAAACGCAGCAGGATTGAGCTGGTCTATTTAAAACTTCTTTGTAAGTTAACTATTACATTCGCTAATCTCTCATTCACTCACACACATTGGTCGCTTTCCTACTTCCGATTAACCGCTATCCCTTCAGTAGATCAATCTCAAACTCAAAACGAGGCACTGATTGCAGTGATAAAAACTGATAATTGCCCGCCATTATGGACATTTTGGTGATTAATTGTGGTATCAGTGAACCAGACGCTTGACTACATTAAGTCCCTTCTTTATCCCACAATATATACAAACAGACATATATATATATATATATATATATATATATATATATAATATAATTAGAATATTATATATTCTTTGTAAGTTAACTATTACATTCGCTAATCTCTCATTCACTCACACACATTAGTCGCTTTTCTACTTCCGATTAACCGCTACCCCTTCAGTAGATCAATCTCCGCGTCGATAACGCGCCTGTACGTCTGAGTTCCGCAAAACTCCTTAAAGGGATTTCATCACAATTAGGAAGTTCATCCTAACCCCGCATCAATAATTATTCGCCACGCTAAAATAATTAAACTCAAAAGGAGGCAGTGATAAAAACTGATAATTAACACGTGCCCGCCATTATGGACATTTAGGTGATGAATTGTGATATCAGTGAACCAGACGCCTGACTACAGTAAGTCCTTTCTTTATCCCACAATACACACACACACACACACACACACACACACACACACACACACACACACACACACACACACACACACGCACACACACACACACACACACACACACACACACACACACACACACACACACACACACACACACACATATATATATATATAAGGATTGAGTTCAACAAATAAGGCTTTTTAAGCTATTAGAAAGTATTTATAAAATACTGTATAATAGCTAAAAAAATCATTTATTTTAAAGATTTTGTACAATTAAAAAACTCACTTGTTTAAAGGATTCTGCAATAACAACGGTATACACACAGCATGCTCCTAAGTGAGTTACTGCCAAGGCCCAGTCTGCAAGCTCCCTGTAAGACAATAATTAGTTTTGTTAAGTTAGTGTTAGTGTAAGTAGTAGCTACCCTTAAAAGTTCTCTGCTGAACATAGTCTTCCCCTATAGATCGCCTCATCGGGAGGATATTTGCCATAGTTGTCATGCTTGGTAGACGGGTTAGCCAAGGTATTATTATATAAATTTAAAAAGGGAAAACCACATCTATGTTCAATTATAAATCTCATTCTAGAAACATCTTCGAAGCGGTCCGCGCATTCTCACGGGTTATTATCAACTATTCATCCATTTAGATTACAATAACTCTTTTTACACAGTTTTTATTTAAAAAATTAATCTTGGTGATAGAGAAACCTAGTATATTTTCGAGGACATTATTGTAAAAGCGAACGTTGCCAAATGAATGAACCACTGACTTTTTAAACTCGAGTAACTGGTGTTTACAGGATGTATAAATTTATGTATATAGGCATACGTGCTGCTGCTAGGCACAGGCCTCCTCTAATGTTTGAGAGAGTTTTAGGGCAAAGAAATGTCCGCTGCGCGGACCCAATGCATGTTAGAGAACTTAAAATTGCAATTAACAATTCCATTGGTGCCGGCGGGGATCGGACGCGGGTTACAAGCATACTATGAAATTTATAGCCAGCGCTTTGCCCGCTGAGCTACCACGGCTCTTCACGTGATGTTGAATTGCTTTTGTAAACATAAATATATTATTAATAGGAGTCCAGATTATCGGTGACACATACGGCCAAATACTCAAACGCAACTTAATTTTAAGAGTTCGTTGTCACATGTTGTTACAATCACTTTGACGTTCGTTTGAGTATTGGTGCAATAGTCAAGTAAGCTACAAAACAGTGTTTAGTTAGTTATTCTGTTAGTTAAGAATTACTACGGGATATGTCAAATGTTAACAGGTTAGATTTATGAACATTATTATGTTCATAAATCTAACCTGTTTAGGCTTCATTAACGTTAATAATATTTCCTTTTATAACTCAAAGTTATAATGTCTAAGCTACGTGTTATGTAAGACGAATTGTGAAACCGAACCCATCAACCACATTTTATTTCCGCAGACCGTATTACTAATTATTAAGCTAATGCCGCGATTTTGATGTTTCTTGTTTCTGTTCTTAGTGCTCACAAATTATTTTATAATCTTAGACTTGGGAGATGTATGATTTACTTGAAAAAAAAAAATGTTACGCACCTTGCAAAAGGGGCAAATTTTCTAACAGGTTTTGGACCGTTTTGAAAAACTAGATCGCAGGTGTCGGCGTATCCCAGGGATGGTTTTTTGACCTCCACGCACAGCTGCTGTGATGTTTTAACCTGTATAGAAATTTATTACATTACAAACAACCATTTTTAAAAGAAGATAAATAAGATAAGACTTTAAAAACTTAAACAACAAGCATTGATCATGAACTGTGATGATCCTGATAATTATATTATTTTATCCTGGTGATCCTGATCGGGATACAGAGATGAAGTTATGACATTATTGTAAATTTTCAAGTCAATCAGCCGTCTAGAATTTGGTGAAAATTGCATTAAAAGATTCCGTTACATAGATAGATAGATAGGTACACGCGAAGATAAAAAGCGTGTTGAAAGAAGGCAGTTCTCTTTTCCGCAGGAGAAGGTACTAATATTATGTATCCAAATTACTTTCTTTGGTGTTGTGGGGCATTTTACAAACATAAATTTCACGGGAATAACAGTAGTCTATTGTGTAAACATTGAGAAGTTGCGGCGGGGAGGGGCGTGCGGCACTTGACCAACTCACGCTCTTGTATTACATCACAGGAGTGGTAGCCGTTCGAAACGTATGAAGAGCTCATCGCTATTCTGCATGCACTATCGAACTCAGGACTTTGCAATATAACAGCGTGTAATGATTCCTTAGAATTTGTTAATTGACATTAAATAAAATTAATTTTACGGATTTATCTCGTTCAATTTATTTTCTTTTTACCTTTTTTTGAAAATGTTTTATTTCTCGACGTTTCGGGTGCTTTACAATATAATATTTAAAAGATAAAGGTAGACCAGGCCAATTATGATATTGGGACGTAAAACACTTAATCCTCCCCGTGATCACGTATCTCGTGATCGTGTAGTGGTAGCTGTAGTTGTAGTGGTTGTGACCATGGACATGGTCGTAGTAGTGGTAGTAGTGTTTGGTGGTAGTGATAGTGGAAGTGTTTGGTGGTAGTGGTAGTGTTTAATGGTAGTGGTACGGGTAGTGATAGGGGTTGTGGTATATGTTGTATACATATTCAGTTTAGCGAGAGAATAGTAAAAATAATGTACTTACCTTAGTATGAATAAATAAATAGAAAAGTAATGTTTAGTGGTAGTGGTATTGTTAAGTGTTAGTGGTAGTATTTAGTGGTTGTGGTAGTTTTCATGTTATGCACGGGATAGGGGTAGGGGTAGTAGTTGGGCTAGAGGTAAGTGTAGTAGTAGAGGTATTGGTAGTTGTAGTGGTAGTGGTAGTGGTCGTGGTCGTGGTCGTAGTATTGGTAATGGTAGAGGTAGTAATAGAAGTATAATTAAGGGTACTTGTATAGGTATTGGTGTTGGTAGTGGTATTGGTAGTGTTTGCGGCTTAGCTTTCCATTGAAGTCCGTCGAGTTGGGAGTTGATATTTTTTTAAAGAAAGGTTACATTATTATAAGCACACACGCAAAGTGTCAACATGCGGAAACGCGTACTTTTTGAGAAAAATATTATTGAAAATCAATTATTTTTGCAATATTTATGCCAATCCCCATTGAAGTCCGTCAAGTTGGGGGTTGATATTTTTTTTACAGAAAATTTACATTATTATAAGCACACACGCAAAGTTTCAACATTCGGAGATGCGTACTTTTTGAGAAAAAATGGAATTGAAGTCAATGGAAAGTCGTACCGTGTTTGATATAGTGGAAGTGGTAGTGGCGGCAGTGGTAGTTATTGTTGTTGTTGTTTTTATATTTGTTGCTATTCTCACCCCGCTGGAAAAGACCTTTGGTAAAAGCACATGGTCTACCTTCACATTGTATCCCTGTTGTTTTAGAATACTTCCATGGATTTTTTATAATAAAACTAAATTTATAAACGAGTTTACATATGCACATGATGGTAAGTGGCTACTGCAGCCCGTGGACACCTACAACCAACTTCAAATTATAAAGAACGCTGTAGATACATTGTCACTTCTGAGTTCAGCTGTAGAATACTCACAGCTGTATCATACCCTAACTAACAGACCAAAATTCAGCAGTGCACGCACTGTTAATTGGCGACAGAAATTGGTTAGAATGTGATCTCTTTTCGTCCGTCTGGGTAGAGATCACAGTCTTACCTTCTATCCTTGGCAAAAAGGAGTCCTACCACATAAAGAAGCAGAAGATATAAAGACACTTTTTTTTTAGTTTTGTACTTACTAGTATATGTACTACGTGTCCACAGATAAATCCTATTACTATAGTTCCAATAGCTCCAACGAGTAAGCCAGCGTTCTTAAAGGCTAGGGGCATCGCTAACACCCCCGAGCCGAGCGACGCCTTGAGAAGATGCGCTAATGCACCGAAGCTCCTGTAAGCAAACATTATATATATATATATATATATATATATATATATATAAAGTTATATATATATATATATATATATATATATATATATATATAAAGTTATATATATATATACATAAAGTTATATATATATATATATATATATATATATATATATATATATATATATATATTTATATTTTATAGCTGACGTATCATAACGCTATGCGGTAAAATGCCGCCCACAATCAATACGTTCACGAGCAAGCCGTATTGCTACAACAAACCCACTAACCACCGGCACTAAGATGATATAAGTTATTAGTTATACATAGTAATCGACATATAAATTATCGAGTCCATGTTTACCGCGGTCTCGGTCACGGTAAGGCAGGCTAAACAACACTAATCATATAAGCAACAATAATCATTTTAAGTCCCACTCCTATCAATATAATGCCTTTCACAAGTAGGATGCGGGAAGTAAAGACCGTGTAAGAACCTCCGAAGGAGGCGCAGTTATAGCCGAAATAAGAATTTTTATTTTTTGGGTTTTGGCCATTTGGACCCCCTAGGAGTGTAATTAGTACTTTTTGCCCCTTGTGCCCCTATTCAACCATAACCCTCGTAACATCCTCTACATTACGGGCTATTCAAACTGACTAGGCCTAAAGTTCGAGTCACCCTCCAACTCATTTCTAAAGTCTGTACTTCCAAATATTTGAGACCTCCCACATATTCGCTTTATTTCATAGACCTTACGTATGTATATGTCTTTTATATATGAGACATCAAGCCGCAATGATGCTATTATAATGCTAGTTAATGAGATTTTCTATATGATTGCTTTTGTTTTATAGACCTTACTAGCATAAAGCCTTAATATGAGACTATGACATTGTACAACAGTACTTTGATAGTCTGTCGCGATCGACCTCATCACCTATTTCACTTTAGATATACATCTCCGGCAAGCAGCATGTATAGGAAAAATTAACCCTCTTAGATTTTGTTCAAACTTTGTACGGAGGTTCTCTACGTTACCTTATTATACAAAAAGTTATTATTTTAAAAGTTGGAGAATTCGTATTTTCACGCTCGATCTGTAATTTTTCTTGTGATTTGACTTTATAATGTACTTAGTAATAATTAATACACGTATTTTTAAAAATTAATAATTTTGTACACCAGAAAGAATTATAATGTGTTGTACTATATTTTTTTTAACAACTGTAAAACAAACACATTATGCAAAATAAATAAATATAAATTAGAAATATATTGACCCATTTGACATTCATAATATAAGACCTATAAATGTTATTTATCTTTGTTATTATATTATAATCGTCATTTATTTTTACTATTTAATAACTTTTGAACATTTTAAGCAAAGTTTTAGTAAATGTAATGAATAGTAAGGCCAATATTAAGCATTTGCTTTACCCTAATAATGTTTAAAATGAATTAATTTTAACTTTATGCTTATTACTGCATTTAATTTTGTTAAAAATATTACTTCTATGACATTTTTAGAGGCCTGTATATAGAAATGAATTATTATTAATAAAACTGGCCCGTCACAAAATGAATAAATTATTTTGTGACCTTAGCACGGTAAATAAGTTTACAAATGTGTTCGTGTGTGTGTGCATCAAAGTTGTACTTATGTGTAAAATATTACTATTTCCTTCTAAAAGTTATTATTTAAACGTACTTTATTGCCTTTAAGGTTCTTTGACTAATATTTACGACTATCATTTACAGAAGCAATAATGTAAGATATTTTTAACGTCATGACGTCAGAAGTGTGTTGCATATTTCATTTGTAATATAAAATACTATGAAACACATAGGTACATAATATCTAATCTATCTTAACGAACAGTATTATAAAAAAAACTTACGATGTTGTCGATTCCGTAGGTCTGTGTTCAGCTGGCACATACGGGTCTAAGTCCTCTCTTGATCCATTGTAAGCGAGTTCGATCCTGTACGAAATGCACTTTTTATTAATTAGGTGAAATTTACATGCAATGAACAACATATGCGAATCACACAGTCAATTTCCATAATTGCCACGTTTGACAGATGGGTAGGCCCATCTTCTATTTAGGTTTCCCACTGTTGCCTGTTACGATATTCACGGGATGACTTGGCGTAGTCGATTCTCTAACAGGGCAACGGTGCTTTATCTCTCATAATTATCTTAGCTTAGCTAATATCTTAGCGGTCAGGTACCGCAGAGTCTATTTCTCCTGATGATGCCTAGTTTAGAGGCGAAACAGGTGGCGTATGACGATACACGGTGTGTTTTTCCTAATATAATGTTGTTGGGAGCAGTGGTGACGAGAATAGTGCACGTACTTGAGGAAGGTTGGAAGTTCTCTTGAAACTAGGTACAAATTATTTTATTTTATTACGCGTATCTTGGATATTTCTTAACATCTTTTATTTAAAAAAAAACATGCGTGAGTGTCGTGGAACACTCGGTTGGAACGAAGTTCCTTTCGTAGTATATTATTATTGATAAATGTATTATATTATTCATTAACAAATACAAATAAATAAATTATTAGCGTCTATTAAAATTAAGAGTCATTTAAAATAAAATAATATTTCTTTCATGGCAATATATGTAAGAAAAAATGCGTAGGAGATGGATATTATTCCATCTCACTTCCTTATAGCCGCCAAGGCCGTCTACACTACGTCAGAAGTAGTCGTGACGGAAAAATCTTACACTTTTTCTCGCCTAGCCCCCATTTGCCAAATTCGTATTTCAAAGACGCCACATAAAGTCAAGAAATAGGTCTCCTTTCTTGCCTAGGAGTTCGTTAACCACCAAGTTATGTTAAAAAGCATTTTAGAATAACTTACAGCATACAAATCAGGCAAATATACTACTAAAATAGAAACAAATTTTTACCTCCGTTGGTTTAGAGCCATTTGCAAAATGATTTTTGTCGGGTCTACAAAACGTCCGAACAAAGAGAGGAAATAAATGAATGCTAGAAATGGAAATGTCTCTAACAGAGTATTTAATTACACGTGTCCTAGTGCAGGATGATGCAATAAAAAACATCTTTTTCATCACATTACTGAACGATCCCATAGATTGGGGTTAACTTGACACCAATTCCGAGGCAAATTGGCCGTCATTATTGATTGCCATTAAATGTAAGCTTTCATGTAGTACGGGATTCGATATCGTTCTTGACCTTTATCACACAGTTTTACTTTTAACTAGTGGTGTTATTTAGATTTAAGATAATCAACAAAGACCATTTATTTTACCAATTTTTGATAAGTAAAATCTCCAAAACATTTCATATAAAATAGCCTCTATGTTTATCTGTTCATGAAATTTCTTTACTATCAGTTCGACCATTCCGTAGACAGGCAGACAGATAGACAACACACAAAATTAAAAAATATCGTAACTCGTATATCTTCTACCATGCAAATAACTGACTTTTGTTCAGCTTAGGAAGCAGTTATTTCGATACTACACACTTTAATTTCATTTATGTGTATAGACTGTAGATGTCAATACTAAAATGTTCATTTTTCATTGATAAATGGAATTTTAAATAATATATTTTATTGCTAAATATAGTCTTAAATAAATAGTCTTCGTATTTTCTTATTTTCGTGAATTTTTATTTTTATTAATGTCCTTTTTCCTTTAAAATTGTTTCGTCCTCTAAAAACAGCTACTTTGTTTAAACATTTAAATATCAACTCATCAATTCATTTCTAGGGTATGATCCTGTGCTTCAGTTATTACTGTTTGTAACATTTTTAATAATTGCATTACATATTTTATTTATTTATTTATTTAAACCTTTATTTCCCAAAAAAGAATTATATAAAATTAAATATTTAACAAAATTTCATTTACATTTACAAAACCAATCATGCTTTAAAGAAAACTTCAACAAACATTTAGATATAAAATTTGCCATAGTTTAGAATAAATTTTATAAATTATGCTCAGTAAATCGTTATATAATATCCATAAAATCAAATATCAATTGACTACAGTTTATAATTTTCAAATATAAAATAAATAAAAGCGATTACATTATTAAACAATTTAAATCCATTAATAATAGTAACAATAATAAAATATGTAATGGTTAATTATAACATGTTATGAAAATCAATTTACAGCAGATTAGTTATGATTACATAATATTAAAATTATTACTTATTTTTTTTACTAATCATTGATATATTTTTTTTCTTATTTATTTGGGTACCCATTTGCGGGTGAGGCCTCCTCCATCTTTTGCCATTTTTGTTTATCTTGTGCGAGTCTCATCCAGGTGTGGCCAGCTGTGGTCACAATGTCATCACACCACCTGCGCCTGGGCCTACCGCGTGGCCGTGGTACTTCGCGAGGGTACCATTGGAGGACTCTCTCACTCCAACGTCCATCTGTAGCTCTTGCAACGTGGCCTGCCCATCTCCATTTTAATTTACATGCTAGTTCTGCAGCATCTATTACTTTTGTTGTTTTTCTTATTTCTTTATTTTTTTGTCTATCTGGTAATTTAAGGCCTAACATGTTCCTCTCTATTGAACGCTGAAAGACCTGAAGTTTTTTTATTATTGTTTTTGTTAGTGCCCAGCTTTGACAGCCATAGAGTAGTGTTGGAAGAATAATAGTATCCATTGCTTTCTTTTTTAGTCGCGTCGGTATAGGAGACTTTAATATTTCTTTTAGTGACCAGTATTTTCTCCAAGCACTTTTTATTCTGCGGTCGACTTCATTTTCAGTTTGGTTTAAAAAACAAATGTTCTGCCCAAGATAGACATAGTTGTCTACATACTCTTTCAATTTATTTTGCACCTTCATAGGCACTCTAACGCTGTTAGTTAGGAGACTCGTTTTTTTAGTATTCATATGGAGTCCACACTTTCGACTCTCTATATCTAGAGATATCAGCATGTGTTCTAGTTCAGCATAACTTTCACTGATAAGGATAACGTCGTTAGCGAATCGTAGATGGCTTAAATACTCTCCATTTATTTTTATGCTAATATTATGCCAATTAAGTTGTCTAAAAACATGTTCTAAAATTGTGTTAAATAAATACGGCGATAGGATCCCCTTGTCTCACTTCTTTCTGAATATTAAATGGTGTTCCTTTTCTCTCTAATTTAACCACAGCCTTGCTCTGTTTGTATATTTCCTTCAGAATTTTGATATATTTAATATGTACTCCTTGTTTTTGGAGCGTCAGCCACAGGTATGTATGATATATAGAGTCAAATGCTTTTGAATAGTCTACAAAAGCGATGTAGAGTTTTTTGTTGTATTCATTATATCTTTCAATAATTTGTGTGACAGTGAATATGTGGTCATTTGTAGAAAAGCCCGCTCTAAACCCTGCTTGTTCTCTCGGCTGACTTTCTTCTAAAGTTTTTAAGATTCTTTTTAGTAATAAGCTGGTAAATAATTTATATATTGTCTGAAGTAAGCTTATTGGTCTATAATTACCCATATCTGATGGATCTCCCTTTTTGTAGAGAAGAGTAATTATAGCAGTTTGCCAGCCAGAGGGTATCAATTCTTTTGCAAGGATTTGATTGAACACAATTGTTAAGATAGGTGTAAGGGGCTCTTTGATCGCTTTTATATTTTTTATTATTTTGTATTATGTCATTGGTAATTCGGTCTTCTCCGGGACTTTTTAGTGTTTTTAGTTGTTGTATAGCATAGCTTATTTCACATTCTAAAAATTGCGGAACGTATTCGCAGTCTGGTAGGTCTAATTCTTGAGTTTCTTTTTTATAAGACATACGGCATTCATACAATGATGTATAGTATTTTGTAGCTATTTCTAATATTTGGTTTCTATTAGTTATTTGAGAACTATGTTTTGTTAATTGTACAATCCAAGTTTTGTTAGAGTCTAACCTTTTATATGCTCTTTTAACTGACGCTCTCTTTTCCAGTTCTTCTTCAATGATTTTATATCGATGCTCTTTTCGACTATTATGTTTTTTTTTAATGAGTTTGTATAAGGCAGAAAGTTGTTTCTTTTCAAAGATTGTTTTATTTTTCTTTTCTTTTAGTAGTGTTCTTTCTTATATTAGTCTAGCAATATTTTCCTGAATTGGTAGAGTATTTTTACATCTCTTTGTAAGATTATTGTTGCAGTCTTTGATTTTCGTTACTAAAGTGGTATATGTTTGTTCAATGTTTGTGAATTGTACTTGTTTAACGTATTCTCTGATTAAAAAATTTAGATATTCTTTTTCTGTAGCTGTTATAATTTCAATGTTGTGGATGCTTGTTTTATTTCGTGCTAGGATGTAATCAATTTCATTTCGTGATACTCCATATGGGTGTATCCAAGTCCATCTACGATTTGGTTTCTTCTTAAAGTATGTGTTTGTTATATGTAATTTATTCTCGAAACAAAAATTTATTAGTGTGTTGCCTCTTGGACTTCTTTTACCGTATCCACATGGGCCCATAATTGACTTGTCATCAGTTGTTGGCATGCCAATCTGTGCATTAAAGTCCCCAACAACCAGTGTGTCTTTATTAGTGTTATTTATTGCTTTTTGGAGATCCTTGTAGAATCTATCTAGGTCTTCTAATGATGATTGTTCCGTAGGTGCATACACCTGTATTTGTATTGTGCATACACCTGTTTTGCATTCAAAATTTAGCTCTAATCTAGCAATTCTGTCTGATATTGGTATAAAATCTTTAATATTCATTTATAATTCTTTTTTAATTTGAAATCCAACACCATTTCTGTTTTGGTTTTGGCCGTAATACATAAAAATATAATTTTTGTATTCTTTAATTTCTTTTCCTTCTAGTTTATATATGCCAATTAATTTCAGAAATATCATGTTCCAGTCTGATAAATCTTGACACATTTATAAGTGATCTCACGTTTAACGTAGCTATATATAGGTAGTTGTCTTTTTTGTTAACAGTTTCTTTATATTTACATATGGAGGG